TGGATGTGCTAGTGGCTACACATTTATGAAGGGAATATATGGCACATGCACAAGGAGTTCCCAAATGCCTTACAGGCATACAGCACATACTGTTGTGAGTGCTGTAGTATAGCTATAAATGACAGGAATCAGTAGGGTTAAGCTGTTGATGTTCTTCCTAGTATTCTTTGAAAACTAGTGACTGGATCAAGATTGCATTCTTATTTCTCCAAAGCGTCCAAGCATCTGCCACATACTTTTTGTACTTAGTGCCACAAGTTGGATTTTGAATCAGAAGCCAGAGGGATAGCTTCAGATCTTACTTGCATTCACACTAGGCATCCAGTCTTAGAGCAGAAACACTACCGCACAGAAAGCCAGTGCTTGAGGGGATTCTGCATGACGTACAGGGTTAACAGGAAAGCAGCAGGCCTTATTTATGTGTAGTACAGGAGTTGCCAGAACAGCAGAAATACTGTTTTCTTTCAATGATTAATGTGCTCAATAAAAGTGTAGCATCTGCTGCCAGCTTTCATTAACAAATAAATGAAAAACAAACCCTCGTGGTAGGCAGTGTGTCTGGGGACAGCTTAAACAGGACTGAGCTGCTTTAGATTTCAGCTATTTTCTTTAGCGCAACAGTGTGGAGCACTTTCTTGTTTATAGGATAAATACAGGGGATTGAAGTGATCTGTGTAGCACACAGGAGCAGTTGCCAACCCATAACATTCTGCAGAATGCAAAAATTCCATAGCTGCTCCCTTGGGAGTCATAGCCTACAATCTTCTTGCATGTTGGTTTCAGTGTAAATAACTGTTAAATCATCAGAACAGACAAGCTGCCAGTAAAACTTTGAATAAAGTACTAGTTACTTCATTTTCCTTGCTTCATAATACAAGTTCAGCAGACTCAGAGCTCAGTCCTTGTATTGGTTCAGGAGATGTGGTATTTCACACCACGTTGGTACAAGTAGTGCATCAATTTAAGGCTGTACGTGTGTGCTTTTTTAGCTTCTTTTCACAAAGCAGACTGAAATACAATAGATAACTTGTATTTTTAGTCTTATTTTCTGTGTTGACTTTCTCTTCTGCCTTTTGTCCTTATAGCTTCTGTACCACATTGGCTAGTTCCACCTTCTTTGACAAGAAGAAAAAGGGAAGAAGGGTTTACATACATCACTGATTCAACACAGGGAAGGTTTCAGTGTCTACTTAAAGACACCACAGAATCCACACGCAGCAGAGAAATAACCACTGCGAGTATGCCATCCTCATGGAAGCTTTGCCTAACAATTGCTGACTGAAGTGAGTCCATGAAATGGTAAGAAGCCAGTGTTTCTCAGCTCTGGTACTGCTGAAACTTCTTCCATTAGTGGAAGTTGGAGAGTGATGGGCCAAGGAGATCTCAGGCTAGATGTGGCTTTGCATCTGTGACAAGAAATTCGCTGAATCAGTCTTGGGATGTGTAGAGTCTGGAGTATTGCTTTCAGCATTTCCAGTTGCTTCAGGCTTTTTTGTATAGAAATTAAGTTGTTTTAAACAATCAAGCAGAGACTATTAACAGCAACAATGTGGCTGCCCTTCAGACTATGGTAATTTAGCAATCCTCAGACCCATCTGTCTGCATATTTGCAACATACAACTTATTAATTCATAGTGGAAACACATCACAGAATGGCAAAAACATTTCAGTACTGAAAATAAAAGATAAAAAAGCCATCATGATCTGAGGCAGGTAACAGAGCAATCCCTGCAGGTTATATGGTGAGGACAGCTTTGGGATTCCAAGATACTTGTTCTGAACCCCAATGAATACACTAAGCTTAATGGCAGTACAGAGTAACTACCCATACCTTCAGCTATACCCAAGAGCTGTGCTGAGACAAAGGAAACCTTCCCTATAAATGTGAGATAGGAGACCAATTCATCTGCACTGCTGTTCCCATAAAATCAGCCTCTCCCAATTATCGCCTCTGCAAAGAGCAAATTATCTCCGGATAGTGGAGAATAAGCAGATCTCAGCAATCATGAAGGCTAAGCCACCACACATCAAAAAACATGTACCTACCAAGCAGATGAGGTTAGATTACCATTTTTCTGTACATGACTTTGGTGCTTGGTACAAACTTGGTACATGTGGAGCTTGTACAGTCCCACACTGAAGTGGATTTCATGGTTCTGAGAACAGAACCTAGTCCTGAGTCATGATGTATTCTAATCATCACCACCATGTAAATGTGAATATTTGCTAATGAACAGACATCTCCATATTTAATTGCATTACACTTTTCAATCTTATATTCTTTCTGTGGTGATTATGTTCCCTGTCTGGCATGACTCATCAAACTCCTCAGGTATGTACAGTGTGTGCTATGCAGAGTGATGCATTGAGCAGGTGTGGCAAAGGACAGGGCAGTTCGAGTAAAAGGAAATTGAAATGTATTTTCAAAGAGAATGTACAAATACCTTAGTGTTTGATTTCCAGGGTGGTGATTAATTATAGACTGTAAGATAAGGACATACAGGACAAATAAGAGCAATAGCCGTTTGTTATATCATGTAGTAGATTCACCTCTGGTTTAAGCTGGCTTTTGGTGGTATGAACCAGAAAGCTGGGACTTTGACAGTGTGAGGAGAAGCAAAAGACTGAATTCCCTCTCTCTGGTAAATTCTTGCGGCTGGCAGGCTGCACACAGAGGACATTTATCTCAGCAGTCTGAGTGGGCTGATATTTTCTGGGACTCTCTGAGGCCATAAAAATGTTACCCCTATCACATATGATGGTGAAAATTATAACATGGCTTTCCCACGTAAGCGTGTAGATCATACCCATGTTAACATTGATCGTACTCATTTACATGTCCTTGCTTGTGCTAGAGAACAGATCTTGGCTTGCACATGCATTCTAAGTTCAGAGAATATAAAGTGATTGTATTTAAACCCTGAACTCGCATGCTCAGGAGGTACAGGGTGTTGCCATACTTTGTCCAGCTTATACTTGAGCTAGTCTAAAAAGCAAAAGAAATTTGGAGCTTTCACCTCTTTCCCTTGTATTTATAAAACCACTGTACACTTTGGTACAACCTGCAGTTCCACCTAAAAGCTGTAAAAGTTGCTGTGTTCCAGGTCATAAATTGGGGTGAAATGGCAGTGCAGTGTGATGAGGCTTGCACAATACCATGCAGCTTATATGTGACTCAAGGCTTTGCTATTAATTCACTTTCATGAACACAAAATCCACATCCTGTTCTTTTTCCACTCTCTGAAGAACACTTCCTATCACATGCCACAAGCAGAAATCTCTTTCTAGACAGTACAAAATTCCTTGAGATGCAATGCAGTAAAGCAAGATCATCTCTGAAATAAGGTTATGCATTTCCCCATTACCCAGTGCCTCACACCACTGGAAAATGAAATGAGTTCCTGGCCTGAACGTTCCTGCTGTTATCTAACTCTTACTGTACTTCATGTCAATTATTAACATCAGCAATGATAGAAATCTTAATACATGTTAAGAAACAGGACTACTACATAATTTGTGTTAATCTGTACTATTTTGCCCTATGATTTTCTTTTAGGAGCCTAACTTTCTCTCCTTTTCCACTGTGCTCTCATATTTGGAATGTTTTGGGCTGATATATTGCTTTCAGTCATTGGAGGACAGGGTGCCAAAGCTATTAATTGTCTCTTTCACCCTCTAGCCAAACATGTTGTTCATCATATATAAACTTTCTGTTTATAAGTAAGTTAATTTTACCCAATAACACCACAAAGACTTTAAGAGAAGACAATAGAAATCACTAAATGACTTAGCTGAGCTCTCAGATAGTAACATATTTATATATATTAAGGAAGTCACTGAATATTTGCCTGAAGTGTGAAAAGGTTTTTTTGTTGCTGGCTCACTACATGTTTTTTTGAGTGAATTTCAGACCCAGTAATGATCCTTTTTTTTTTTTCTCAAGGTAATAAATAATGCAGTTTAAAACCTGCTAACTGCTGGCAAAGCCAGCACTCCAATTGTGTAAAATTTGGGGTTGGGAATGGAGGGGTGCAGGTGGATATACAGTCCAGGCACTTTGAATGAGGCATGAATACAAGGGACTGATTTGGCTTTGAAGGTTTGAAACAGTACATGCTAACCACAAAGTGCTTGGGATTCTCCATCTGGGAAAGCTCAATGTGTATCCAGTCCCCAGAAAACACCAATTTTGGTACAGCATGTGTGTTGGGGATGGAAGAAAACGTGACTAGAGACATGTCTTTCTGCTGTTCAGAGGATACAGTTTTAAGCTTTGCCATCTGGCAAGTGTCACAGCAGATTTCCATCTCCTTTAACCTCCTCCAGGTTTGGGTCTTAGGGAAGAGACTCAAGGAGCTATAGCTTTTCTCTTGACAGCCTCGCTATCCCTGCCTTTGTCCAACAGAACATGGTTACATACTGAATCTGGCTTTTCCAGCTGAAGTTTCCCCAGCTTCATGGGCCTGTATCAGAAGAGCTGTTCTAGCATTGCAGTGGTGATCTAGGGATTTATTTTGAAGAGTAGCAGTCTGTTACTTTTCCTCTTTTCCTTTCTCAACAAGAAAAAACCTGGCAGGACTAATCTGTAGAGGTGAGTGTGCTCATCCTTCTCTGCAGGAAACTGATCACTGCATCAGAATGCTGAGAGAAGTCAGCTAGATGTTAACAGGGCTGGAAGTTGCCATCCTAGTACATTGCTAGTACAAGGCTGGTGCTGCCATCAGTAGAGGCCATACATTACAAGAAGCAGTACTGTTAAAACAGTACCAGAATGAATCACTGATTCAGGCATGTAGAGATCCTGCTTTCAGATTCCTAGGACTTATGTAATTGCAGAGGCCACATGTGTTAGAGAGCAATATAGGTCAGTCATGAAAATATAGCTCCTTCTCTCTTCATTGATCTGTTTTATATTTCATGCTGTAAGGTGATTCAGTCTGGACACTTTTTTTGTGTTTCCTTTATTTCACATCAAATCACTTATTAAATATGTAGAAACCTTCTAAAATCAAGAACATGTGATGGAATTTTTATTTTAAGTGCAGAAGTCTTAGAACAGATTTCCTGAGTAAAGTTTAGGATAGCAGGACAAATTCCTACTTGGAAAGAGAAGGGACAGAGTTATGTTGATGGACAAAATAAGTTTGCAAACCATTTGCTGAACAAAGAACACCAGAAGAGTAACTTGCTATTGCCGTTTCTCTTGTGTTAATTGTGGCGAGCTGCTGAGCTACATAGCATGCAGAACAGAAAATATCTGACAGCACTTCCTTGAACCCTTTTTTTAATTCTGAGGTTTAAGGATCTCTCTGTGTTTCAGCATGACTGGAATTTGTATCTAGCTTCTAGTCCTAGACCAAGGACTGAATGAAACTTCCTCTGTTTAAGATGCTGTGCAGTGCGAAATACCCTGGATATTGTGTTGTTTCATGGTGTGTTATTTCATTTTTGCAGAGGGAAAATTGATTGCTAAATGTGAGCATAAGGCCAATGAGTGTGGTAGATCTTCTCCCCCTGTAGCACTGCTTATTTCCACCCAAGTCACAAACACCAAGTTGTCTGTAATAGAGTTGTGGCTGATAGGGCACTGAATACATCTCACCCAGAGATGCACATATATATGATTAGCACCATGGCGTCTAGGAGAGCTTTAGCGCTCGCTCAAGTCCTGTCAGTGTAAGTTCAGCAGTGTTTTGATGCTATCTCAGTGGCCCCATTAGGATTGGCATAGCTCAGCCCTAGATAATTTGGTGCGGGATCAAAACACACAGTGCTAAGCACAAATCCTTTTGGAAGAATTGATACGTTTGGGATGGATATCAAGTATGAGATCCTATTTATATGAGAAAAGTTGCTGATTGCCCAGGGAAGATGTGAATGCTCCATCCCTGGTAGTGTTCAAGGCCAGGCTGGACGGAACCTTGTGTGACATGTTTTAGTGCATGGTGTCCCTGCCCATGTCAGGGGGGTTGTAACTAGATGATCCTAAGGTCCTTTCCAGCCCTAACTATTCTATGATTCTATGATTACTCCTTTGTGCAATCAGTGGACACTTTTCTGTCGCCTGGAGCAGTTCTTTGTTTTTCAGGTCAAGTGCTTTCCTAACAAAAATATAACCTGCAAAGAAATCAGAAAGAAACAAGTTTTTATTTTGCAATGTACTACAGCTTGGAGAAATAAAGATGGTAGAGAAGCAGCTTTCATACAACTGCTTCGTGAAATTTTCTCTTTAGTCCAAGGATTTATGATGAAACTAATCATGCCAACTTCAAGGATAATTCCAGAAGAAATTCTCGTGGAATGAGACAGGTTTGCTTTTAGAAAATTCAATTCAAAAAAGGAATCATCATAATATATATCACTGCATAACTTACAGTAGTATCAAAGGTCTTAGCTGATCTTGGGCAGATCACTGTGAGAATTACAGCGGATACACTGCATTAGTGAATTCAAAAGTATGCTAGAGAGATGTAAAGTTTGTATTAGATTTCTATATAATCTTGTATTTATGGTATCAGTTGTCTAGTAACATGGGTGGATCTTACTGCCATTCTAAAATGAGGCACTTGAGATGCAGTCTTGCTGTCTTGAACTGTTGCACAGTGATGGAACAATTAGAACTTGTAGCTGCAGCTAACTCTAAGTGTACTCCTCCTCCCAGTCTTCAGAATATATGCTAAGGTTGCCATCCCTACTCAGCAGTGCTGTAAAGGGCACATGTGGTGACATGATGAATTTCCAACCTGCTTGAAGAAGTGTTAAGCCAGTTATTATTCATCTGGAATATAGTTCTCATCTATCATGTGTGCTCAAGGAATCAGATAAAAATTGGAAGAGGCAGAGAGAATTGTTACTAAAATGATCAAGGAATTGAAAGGTTTCATCATAACATAAAAATAGAAACATAATTAAACAAAAAAAAAGATAGTGTAGGGGCTAACAGATAATGGTTGACACAAGAACCAAAAGATACAAGTTGGATATGAATAAATGTGGAGTGGAATTTTTATATGAAATAATCTTCCAAGAGAAGTATTGAGAGGGAAAAATAATCTAATTTTAAGATGGAACATAATACTTTTATAAAAGGACAAAATGATGTGGTATCATAAAAGGTAACTGTACTTGGTTACCCAGATCACCTTCTAGTCAGTGCTTCTATAATCCTAAATGTCTATGTACCATCTGAAAGTATTGAGCAGAATTATTGCCACTTGCAGGCAAGAATTGCATTATCACACAACTGAGCTGCTTCTTGCCCTAGACACAGTGCTATCACACACAGTTGCTCATAGTAAATATTGGCTGAGAATGAACTGGCACTGAAAGATACACCAATGCAGCTGCTATGGCATATGCGACATATCTCTGAGAGCTGCAGTCCTGCATCATCTGCTACTAGCAGCATCACGTTGCCAGCAGCATCACAGGTGAGCTAACGATATTGCCATGGACTTACTTTACCCTTTTGCCTTTCTATTACAATTAATATTTTCAACAGCCTCAATGTTATGCTGCCATAAGAGCCTACAGTTACCCTAACGCATTACTAACTTTTTGAAAGGTGATTCCTGAAATACCATGCTGCCCCCTTGAGGTTGCATAATACGTGGTTTGAGGTTGGGTTTTTTTAAAGTTACTGAGAAGAAGAAAACATTTTAATGACAATTTGTTATTTGAAATAAGCAGATTAGACATGAGCATTCCAAAGACTTCTCTGTCTTTTGGATGTTCCAAAAGGAACTGGGCATGCAAGTCCTTGCAAATGTCTGTCTTAATTTCTCCACCTCAACTCTTCAAAAGATCTAGAGGATCATGTATAGAAGTGACAATGGCTGGGAGTAGAGGTAGGGTTGTTTGGTTACAAACATTGTTCTGTGTAGATCTGAACACAGAAATGATTTGCAGCAATTGTTTCAGAAATGATTTTCAGAAATCATTGCAGGATTGTTGAAAAATTGTTGCAGAAATGATTTGCAGCAACATGTTTCTAGTATTCTGCATTGGCCAACAGTCTTGCATGAGTTTGGCCCTGCTGCAACAGTAGTAATGCATACAGTGACTGATACATGCTCTCCTGCAGAGATCTGTCTGCCTGAGAGTTTCTTCCAACTGTGGTGCCTCATCTGAAAATGATTGCTTAAGAGAACTGAATGTGTCTATATTGGCAAAACGAGAAAGGCAAGTGCTGGGAAGGACATGCAAAGTATAAGCAGAGGAGGAAAACAGCGTGACAGAAATTACCTCTGATGGTTTGGGGGTTTTTAACGTTAAAAAAAGTAAAGTTACTGGAGTGAGTCTCTGTAATAGTCTCTCTTAAATGAATTGTTTAACATGAGACCAGATGGACAATGGTGGGAATACAGTTAGGTGAAGTAGGTTGCCTAATTGCTCAGGTTTTATTCATTGCTCTGGGAATCAATTTATAGTACAATGTGTTCATCGGAGACAAACAGACTGGAACAAAAGAGGAAGGAGCTGGTTAGGTCCCATGTGTTTCTGTGCCACCGTAAGCCTTGGATTTGACAGGGTATGAGAAGATGTTTTAGCCATCTGTCTTCTCCCTTTGTGCTCCACAGTGGCTGTGATATTCCAAGGGCTTCCTAGAGAAGATGAATGATAACAGCTAGTAGCAAAGTTATGCTGGGAGTGATTTCTGGTGGCAGAAACTTTGGCAGAGTTTCTACTGCCGTGACTAGAGCCAAAGGTTTTCATTTGTCTATCTAGTTTTACAATATTTGCTGCCTGTTCCTAAAGGTTCCTTTCAAGCCTCAGCTGTGTTAACATGAGTGGGCCTCAGAGCCAGGGCAATACTTGGTGAAGCTCTTTTCACACTGGCTGCCATGGCTGGCAGACAACAGGTTTTTGGCAGTAAAGATGGGAGTGACTGGCAGTTGTAAAAGCAGTGCCAAGATGAATGCTAGCTTTTCCACTATAAATTTCCATTCCAGCTGCTCAAACAGGAATCTTGGGTCCCTGTAGTACATCATCAGTCTGCCTGCCTTGACTAAAAACTAGTAATTGTACTTCACTGAGCAAATACCCATGGAATAACTAATGCCAATGAACCTCAAAACTATCCAACGCCAGGAGTTAGTGTTATGAAGTATAGGAAAATTATGTGTTCTAAATATCACATAAAAGGAAAGCTGGTATCTTCTAAAATCTTCTGGTATCTTCTAAAATTCTTGAAAAATAGACAATAGGCTGTGTCTTTATTTCTTCAAAAGTATATATAAATGCACCTCATTCAGCCTGTGTGTAGAATTTCCCATCCCCCAGTACTGTACTTCCTCATACTTGTATTGGAGTATTCTTGTACTCTTGTATTCACTGTGTATTCTTGTATTCTTTCTGCAATGATAGGCACATACAGTGAGTGAACACCACTACAAAAAAGCAAAAAGACAAGTGAAAAATGAACCAGGAGTGTTTATAGCTGGCTATGAAAGAGAACTTCCCTTTTTCACAGCTTACCTGGTTGAAAAACATTTGCTTTTAAATTATAAGATATTTATTTGAAAATCAGAACATGCCTGATGAGCCCCCCTTCCCTTCCGTCCCCTCCCCCCTACCCGCCCCCCCCAAACAAAAGCTTGATGGAGTTTTATTTCAAATATGAAACAGTGTATTTAGAAACAATTTAAAAGCAGGACTGCTGATGCAATAAACATGTTTCTTCTTGAAAATTAATCCTATTTACTGACACTGTTATTTTTCACAAACAAAACATTTTTATGTGGAGAGAGCTTCAGTGAATGCAATCTCCTTTGCCTAATGCAGAAAAGGTATGCCTGGTTCCTCCAGGCAATGTGCCTCTGCAGCAGCTCTCCTGCCCAGTACAGTATGTCTTTTCACTTGTGTGGTTCATCACTTCTAGAGACTTGCAAATTGAAAATATTGACATATGTCCTTATGCTAGTGCATAAGTGCAGCAAAATAAATATTGAACAGAGAAAAGATTCATGTTCAGCTGCCTCCCATCTCTCTTGTGATATTGTTCTTGTATGTCGCCTTTTTAAAAGTCTGTTTACTGTAGCAGGAAGTAATAGATAGAAAGAAGTATATGATCATAGAATTATTTAGGTTGGAAAAGACCTTTAAGATCATTGAGTCCAATCGTTAATCCAGCGCTGCCAAGGCCACCATTAAACCATGTCCCTCAGTGTCACATCTTTCAAATACCTCCAGGGATGGTGACTCCACCACTGCACTGTGCAGCCTGTGCCAGTGCTTGACAACACTTTTGGTGAAGACACTTTCCCCATTATCCAGTCTAAAACTCCCCTAGCAGAAATTGAGGCTATTTCCTCTTGTCCTATTGCTTGAAGAGACCAACCCCAACCTCGCTGCCTCCTTTCAGGTAGTTGTAGAGAGTGATAAGGTCCCCCCCTGAGCCTCCTTTTCTCCAGGCCAAGTATACTGTCGATGATGTTATGCATATAACCTCTAGAGCAGTGTTTTTCAGGTTTTCAGTGAACCCCAGGATAATCCAAGTGAAAACTTGTTTAGACATTTCACATACAAAAGCTTCTGTAGGGCTGTTGTTGAGATTCACGTGCTTTTAATACTTGCTTTATTGTTTTATTCTTTTCATGGAAATTTCTGTTGTAAAGTTCCTAGTTTTCCTTTCATTGTTACAAATTAACATTAAATAGGGACATTGCTGATGTATGCTTAGTTCATCTGTATCTTATTTCCCTGAGTTAGTGTGTTACAGCTTTAACACAGGAAAGCTCAAGCCTTTCTATGCAGTAGAAATATGCATCAGTAAACAAAAGCAGCAGCTGTGAACTCAGAATCCATAAACTGTGCTGTTTTATGTATTACTCTTCTTTTTAAACTGGAGTTATACATAACATTCTGCCTAATGACTAGGCCCAGTTCATTTTGCCTAAAGCCGCATGACCCTGAACTCCAATGCTGTCTGATTTCAGGCTAAGCAAGGTTGCTCTGGATTGGTACTAAACTCGAAATAAACAGGAAATAACCTTCAGTAATAGCACTCACTGCTTGCTCAGAGAGTACATGATCCCTCAGAAAGGACGCACTTTTTCCCACATTGGTACTGAGCAATGTGGGAGGCAAAGTGTTGTTATTAGAAATGCTGGCCAAGTACAATGATGTCAAAAACTTACGCATTCACTTGTGTCCTAAATAAAAAATCAGATATCTCTCTCTATCTTTGCATTTTTATATCCAAACTAGAAAAATACATCAAAACCATATATGAAACAAATTGCGTGGAAAGTATCGTTAAATTGTAACAAACTGATTTTGACCCAGAATTTGAGGAGAAATTTGATCTTGACAGAGCCAGGTATGATTTTTTATGAAATCCAGTGGGATCTTATGAAAGCAAAATTCTTTCAGCACAAGTTCCTATAAAAGCATACATCTGCAACAATGTATGAAGCTGAAAAGAAAATGTAATTTGGCTTCAGCAGATAATCTGGCCTTCACAGTATCACAGTATCACAGTATGTTAGAGATTGGAAGGGACCTCAAAAGATCATCTAGTCCAATCCCCCTGCCGGAGCAGGAACACCTAGATAAGGTTACACAGGAACGTGTCCAGGCGGGTTTTGAATGTCTCCAGAGAAGGAGACTCCACAACCTCCATGGGCAGCCTGTTCCAGTGTTCTGTCAAGAAACACATGTCTTATGTGTTTTGGAGGTTTTATTGATAGAAGTGTCTGTAGACACTGTAGGCTTTAAAGCAGCCAGTATTGCATTGCTAGAATTTCTTATACAACTGTTATTATGGCTTTGTGTAAGACTGGTATTGTCATCCTTAGATAAGTGTAATTTATACTAGTAAGTTATACAATTTCTCATCTCAGACTCTGTTTCTTGGCAATGGAGCATTTTGTTTTGCTTGGTTTCATTCTGCTACTTTATACACATTGCTTCTGAAGTGGCATAACTCTTAGCTCTTTCAGATACCCAGACACAGGTTTAAGTTCTGTTGTTTTATACATGGACCTGGAATCCCTGATTTTCAGACAGCCAATACAAAAATGATGAAAGATGATGTCCATAGAGAATAGAAAGTCTTGGATGTTCTCCCTTAAATTGTCATGGGCATCTTCCTAGTGAAGAAATGGAGGAAGTTACTGAGGACCTTAACCATAAGAAAAGGCAGGAAGAAGGAAAAGGCATTTGCACAATTGAAAAAATCTGGCTTGGTAAGAAGTTTCTATCTCTGGAGGTAATTAGAGAAGTTGGTGAGCAGAATAGAGAACCTGCCCTATGGCTTCTTACTCATTCCCGCTGCACTGCGGCATGAGAGAAGTAGTTGTGAATTTCCATATAATAAATATTCTGTATATATAATACTGAAAAATTTGAAATGTTGTTTTACTCTGAAAATTGCTGCAAATTGTAATTCGTTATAGATCAGATCTTCATGAAGTGCATACTCAGTTGTAACTTCTTACTTTAGATGAAGAAAAAGGATTAAAGAAACACTTCTGGAACAATAGTCCTACTAACCAAACTCAGCTAAGAATTAGGGTGCTGGATTCATTTTCCATTGTATCGACAGCATTTCTTGTGAGTTTCTAAGCAGTGACACCTAAGCAGAGACCCTCTGGTCAGCACAGAGGTGACGGAATCACTGCATCCTGCAAATCGCTCCTGATGTTGGTAGTTGCAGGATTAGAAAGAACTCATTTGAACTGATAGTCCACGAGACTGGAAATTAAAGGGAAAAGAGCATGTGACATGATCATAGTAACAATTTAAGCACTTTACAGACACTGTTTGAAACAGAGGATGCGTTGAATGTAAAAAGAGTAATAACAAGCCTCATGCTTTTCCAGAATTTTGAAGGAAAACTTTATACAGACTGCATATATTTTACTCTTTTCTCTGTTCTTTTTCTCTTTCCTTCTAATAGACTCTCCACACAATTTTCCCTCTGTGATTATGAGTCAGCCTTGGCTGAAGTGTCCTGGAGGAGGACATGTAGTGGTCCTTAACTATACAAATGCAGACAGCCATCTAGCCATAATTTTAAGCAAGCATTTGCAGTATTATAGATAATCCACCATGCAACTGGGCATATTTGTTATTTGGACATAATGGAACCTATTTACATTAAGATTGTCAGTTAAAAACTTTCCGCAGTATACATTTAAGCTTCATTATAAGTAAGAATTAAAATTTTAAATACAATTATTTTGACAGCATGAGGGATTTTGTTTCATATATTAGATCACGATGAGACATCAACTGTATGTGACCTTCTGAAGGTCATGATGAAGAAAAAACTTTTAGGTTGTTTTGGTAACACATGTATCACCAACAATGGCAAACAGGACAGACTGAACTTACAAACATTACATCAGAGCTGTTACTAGAGATAACATGTTTGCTAAACTTCTCAAAATGAGCTGATACCACGAGTCATCTCATTGTGATCAGCACAAGGACTATTTCCTGCTAAGACTGGCTATCAGACTGGTATACTATTGCTTGCCCAAAATACTAAACTTACGAAGTCAAGCTATCTTTATTTTGTGTAAATAAGCACAAACGTGCTCTCCTGAAAGGACAAAAAGGTTGCTAGCAAAAGCAAATAAAGGAAAAGACCAGTGTGCTGGTCATAAAGACATTTGAAGTTAATCTACCTTTAAGGAAATCTTATTAGTACATTGATACGTGCCAAATTCATACCTTTCAGTCTTTTCAAAGCCTATCATATTTTGAACTCAGAAAAATTGGGCTTTGATACATAAATAGGTTCTTTTAGCATGCTACAGGACATATCTTGAATCTGGGAGGTTCAAAGCACACTAGACTTAGTACTCCATGAAATAGAATAGACAGGTTTTTAGGTTTTGCTGTGTGCTGTTCAGTGTCTTCTCAGAGTTCACTTCAAGTTTTGGAAGTTCCCAAAAAACAAGGGAGAACAGAGCAGAGCCCACTTCATGAGGAGCAATGGGATAAAAACAAAGTGGAGACATAAATGCACAAAGATTTTAGGTGGACTTTAGAGCCAGATTAGACTGTAATGACCGTTTATGAACTAGTAATAAGTCTGTGAGAACTAACAGACTAATATCTTGTCAAATAAAACAGCAGTCATGTTGTGAAGGTTGTTCCAGTTGCTGAACAGAAAAAGATGGGTGTTTTGTATGAAGAAATGTGTCCCTGTTCCTTGTACTGAAAACCCACTGAGGCAGTA